CGAATATAACAATGAACCCATCCAGTCATGAGATTTACTTTGCTGGGAAACTTTCTCAAAATCATCACTCATTTTAGACTTATTTAAATTATTTACATCCTTTTGATTGTAATTTTCTTTTTTATTATGGTACTTGGGTTTAATACAGGACCATGTCCTTGCTAGATAAGTTCTCTATTAGAACCCTACCTCAGAATTACTCAGTTCCATCATTTGGAGGTTATGAACATTTTTGTATATACTTTTATTATAAAAATACTGTTCAGAGGGGTTACAGTTACATGAGTAAGGTAGTGAGTACATTTCCTATCAAGCATTGTTACCTTCTCCTTTGTTTTTCCCATACCATACCTTCTTCCCCCCCACCAACTTGTAAAGTTCATTTTCAACATAGTGTCTTGTACATTTCATTGTTACAATGGGTCAACCTGTATTCTTATTTCAGCATTGTGTTATTTCCCTTCCCCTCCCCAAATTAGAAAAATGTATTTACAAGATTCAGGGCACCGAAATCAAATACAGTGAAAACAGGTGTTATACCATGGGGGAAGAACATACAAAAGAAACAAAAAAAATCACATGGTACATTATGAGGTTATAAACTTTTGAAGAAGTCATGTTGCCTTTATATTTTGTATTTCCTATGTTTCTGCATTGCAATTTGTAAATCAGTTTGGATATATATCTCATTTCTTTTTTATTATTTTTTATTATATTTTTTTATTGTGAGAATACCATACAGAGGAGTTACAATTACATGGGCAAGATAACGAGTACATTTCTTATCAAGCATTGTTGTCTCTTCTTTGTTTCCCCTTCCCATCCCTTCCCATACTCACCCCCTCCCCCCACCCAAGCCTTCCCCCATCTCCCACCAAAATTGTAAAGTTCGTTTTTTTGACATAACGACTTGTACATCTCATTGTTGCAATGGGTCCACCTGTATCTCTAGTTAAACGATTTGTTTTTTCCCTTCCCCTCCACAAATTATACCATCAAATACAGTGAAAGGGGTTATACCATGGGGGAGGGACATACAAAGCAACATACATTTCTTTTTTTGTTTGGGGTGTGATTGCTCTCTTGTTTGGGGCTTAAATCTTTGATCACTAAAGAAGAGAAAGAAGGCAAAATTCAGAACCACATCAGATATTTAAATTTATAACATAATTTAAAACATTGATTCCAAAAAATGTTAGAAGGGGAAGGAACTAGAATAGTTATAGAGGAGTTTGAAAATTACTACATCTAGAGATTTTTATAATTAAGTACTACAAAATAAACCCAAAGTTTAGTACTTTTGCGTTTTTGTCTCGATTCTATTGTTCTCTGTGTGTATTTCTCATTTGCTCTATTTTTCTGTCTGTTGTCACTCTTAATATAAACTATAATAAATATATAACATTTCTATGATATATGTACATGTAATATATAATATATATTAAGACACTAAATTCTGTTTTAAAATGGAGGTAGGAAGGAGGGTAATGGAATATAATAGAAGGGTAGAACTTGTTTAAAGTATATTTGATGCTATCTATGAAAATATTACTTTTTGAAACTTTTGTACAATAAAGGTAGGCTAATAAGTATTAAATCACTCTGGATCCATTCATTGTAAGGAAATCTAAGTTGTTTCCATGACTGGGCTATTGTGAATAGTACTGCAATGAACATGAGTTGGTAGATGCCTTTATCTTGACCTGCACTTTTTTAAATAAATTCCTAAGAGTGATATCACTGGATCATAGGATAGTTCTATTTTTCATTTTTTGAGGAATCTCCATACAGCCTTCCACCATGGTGGCACTAGTTCACATTCCTACCAACAATATATAAGGGGCTTCTTTGTCTTCACATCCTTGCCAGCATTTATTTGTGTTCTTGTTAATCACCACTCTTTCTAAAGTACCATTTTGATTTGTATATGTGGCCAAAGATATATTTTTCATGTATTTATCAGCCATTTTTTTCTTCTTTGGAGAAGTGTTTACTAAGTTAATTTATCCATTTATTGACTGAGTTATTGGCTATGGGGGAGATTAGTTTATGAAAAGATATCTTATGTATTTTCTATGACTGTGATTGACTGGGGAGATGAATGAGAAATGGGAGAGGAAAAGACAGGTGGAGGATGAATAATGTTGAAATCCATTGCATCTATGTAAGAAGATGGCATACAGACACTCAAACCTGTTGAATAATGAGGAGACAGAGGGGATAAAGAGAACAATCAATGCAGCTAATCTGATTAAAACATAATAAATGCATGTGTGAAATACCATAATGTAACTCCTTTGTATAATTAATATACACTAAAAAAGAATTATATACCCTTTAAAAATGAATGATAGGAATGTGAAACATCCTGCTGGGGTGTGAGTAGTAGTAGGAAAGGCAAAGGTGAATAGGGAGGGTGAAGGAGGTTGACTATAACCAAAATACTTTATAGACATCTGTGAAAATAGGAAACTAAAATGAGAGATTAGTTTGGAAAGAGAGGAGAGAAGATGGTGAGTCTGATCAAGGTACATTGTATGTATGTATGGGTGTGTCAAAATGAAAGTCCCTTGTACAACTAATTGATGCTAATGAAAATGTTACCAAAGGAGGATAATCTTAAGAGAGGATCTCAAAGTCTCAATAGCTATATGCATATAATCATTTAAACTAAAATATTTATCAAAATGAATTCCAAGAAATAGAAACAAGAGGTGTTTTTTTCCTTTGTTGTTGTTTTTGTTTTCTTTACCTTTATCTGTCTTTGGGAAGGTAAGGGTGGCGCAGAAAGGGCGGGTCATAGGGTGAACAGATGCAGCAGTGATACCAGATACCATGTTGGAAATGACCTATTCAACTTGAAGGGAGACAGGAGGGAAAAACTGGGAGAAAGTGAGGGAAAGGGTAACACTAGTCAAAAAGAAATGTAATCAGGGCTGGGAAGGTGGCTCAGTGGTAGAGCACTTGCCTTGCATGCATGAGGTCCTGGGTTCCATTCCTCAGCACCACATAAGCAGAAAAGCCAGAAGTGGCTCTAGTGGTAGAGTGCTAGCCTTGAGCTAAAGAGCTGAAGGACGGTGCCCAGGCCCGGAGTTCAGGTCTTATGACCAATAAAAAAAAAAATGTAATCAATACCTAACATATAACTAAACCCCTCTGTGTATCACCCTTACAGTAACAATAAATAATTGGTTAATTAGAAGTGTGAAAAAATCTGTGACACAAACAAATGAAATAATGAAATAAAAAGTTATGTCTGAAGGTCTACCAGCAGGAAGTGTACACAGAGGAGTGTACACAGAGGGTTAGGGAACATGAACACGGTGGAAGTACTTTATGTACACACATGGAAATGTTGCGATGAACTCCTCTAGTGTAACCAATATATGTAAATAGACTCATTTAAATTCCAGAAAATCATTTATTAAACTAGTTCTGCTCTTTATTTATTTATCTGGCTTTTCTGTATCTATTTACTTATTGATATGGATTATTTATTATTTATTTTTATGATTCAAAAGTAAAGTCTAGTATATTTGGAAATCAAATGTGTTTATTTAGATCACATTTAACAAGGGTTTGTTGTTAAACTTGCTTCACCAGATAACTAATTGGACATAAGAAGCATTTCCATAGAGACTGTTCCAAGGAACTTTCTCTGGTGACTCAGTTGGGAGAAGGACTTATGAATGACTTCTGTGAAAATATGGCCCACGAGATTATAGGAAAAGCATACAAATAGAATGCCCATAAGACATACTTGGTATTGCTTTTGTAACATAGACTTTTTTCTTCTTTTAGTACCCTGTATCTTCTGAACATTACAAGTTCTGAAGGTCATGCTTAACTATGCACCATTGGACTACAGCTTCTCCATTGTTCTCTGCAAGTTTTGAAATTTTCAAGTTTATTCCTTCACAATTCCATTTTTATCGCAGGATTTTTATCTAAGTAAGGTAAGTGTAGACTGGTTGGGATGGGCCATGCATTCTCAGGGAATGCTGGAATATATGTAGACAATGATACCAAGACACATAGAAAAGGCCTAAAACATTTTATTTAAGAAACACTTTTTTTTTGTTCTGGGTTTGTAACACAATGCCTCTCACATCCTAGATAAGTGCTCTACTAATCAGAGAACTCCCAGCCCACAAAACCTTTCCCATCCTTTGGGGGATACCTAATTTAGTGGCTCCAGGACCAACTAGATCTCTTAGTACTTATCTTCCATCTATTACTTCAAACAGTACTAAAACATTTAAATTTCAGTAAATAACCATATTTCAGCAAATTAACAAATTTAAATTTCCAAATATGTGAAGAAAGAATGCATCATTCAATCATGTGGCTATAACACAAGTAATTTTTTCCCAGTTTTAGGTGATTGAAATGAGGACTTAATACTGTTGCTCCTTGGTTGTGGACTTTTACCAGTTGAACCATACCTCTAGTTTAACATGCTGCTGGACAATTAGAAATAGACTCTTATAGACTTTTCTACCTGCCTGGTTTCACACTGAGATACTCAGCCTTCTGAATAGTTAAGATTATGCATATGAGGCCACTACAACCTGGCTTACAAATCATTTTTAATAGGTCAAAATTTAGTGGGTGACTCATTACCTGACTTAACTGTAACCCTTCTGTATGTTGCCTTTATAATAACAATTAAAAACAAAAAAAGTAAAATCAAAATATCAAAAATAAAAAAAATGTTAATGGGTGAACTTTGGCTCAAGTCTAGCATTCTACCACTTGAGCCATAGCTACATTTCTGGCTTTTGCTCATTAATTGGAGGTAATTGTTCCAAGACTTTCCTGCCTGGGCTGGTTTTAAACCACAATCCTCAAATCCCAGCCTCCTGAGTAAACAGTAATAAGAGAAGGTGCCATAAGTGCTTGACCGCTCCTCATCTTCTATACATGGTCAATGGGAAATAATAATTTATCATTTTGTCATAACTCCATCCTTTTTCTATAGGTGAAACTAATTGAAGAGAATGACAGTGATCAATGAGAGTCACCCACAACAGTTCATTCTACTAGGATTTGCTGACCAGCCTTGGCTGGCGCTTCCTCTATTCATTGTTCTTCTGATCACATACCCCATGGCCATGATGGGAAACATCGCCATCATCCTGGTGACCAGGTTAGACCCCCGGCTCCACAGTCCCATGTATTTCTTCCTCACCAACCTCTCCTTTTTGGACATGTGTTACACCACCAGCATCGTCCCTCAGATGCTGTTCAACCTGGGGAGCTCTGAGAAGACCATCAGCTACATGGGGTGTGCGGTTCAGCTTTATATCTTCAACACAATGGGGGCCACAGAATGTCTACTCCTGGCTCTTATGTCCTTTGATCGCTATGTGGCCATCTGCAGACCTCTGCACTACACCCTCATCATGAACCAGCGCCTCTGCATCCTGTTAGTGTGCATCGTATGGCTGTGTGGCATTACCTATGCTGTGTCAGAGGCTACAGTTACACTACAACTGCCATTGTGTGGCGTCAATCAACTGGATCACTTGTTGTGTGAGATTCCAGTTCTGATCAAGACTGCCTGTGGTGAAAAGGAAGCCAATGAGCTTGCACTCTCTGTCATATGCATTTTTATATTAGCTATTCCTCTGTGCTTAGTTCTGGCTTCCTACACATGTATTGGACATGCTATATTGAAAATAAAATCTTCTGAAGGAAGGAAAAAGGCCTTTGGGACATGCTCTTCCCATCTCATTGTAGTTTTCTTATTTTATGGCCCAGGAATTACTATGTACCTGCAGCCCCCCTCCTCCATCACAAGGGACCAGCCCAAGTTCATGGCTCTCTTCTATGGAGTGGTGACTCCTACTCTCAACCCCTTCATCTATACCCTGAGGAATAAGGATGTCAAGGGAGCATTAGTCAACCTGGTGAGGAGCATCTTCAGTTCTAAATAATGCTTGATATCTATCAAGTTATTTATTTTAGTAGTAACATAGGCTTCCTAGTAACTAGTGATTGTCTTATCATTTAAACTGGTATTATATGTTCTTCTTGTACAATCTTATGTTTCTTCTTATAATTTTTCTTCTTATATAAGGCAAAGATTATACTCAAATAGTCTACACTCATATTAGTAATCAAATTTTACTAATTTTTTAATTCTAATTGAAATAGTAATAGTAAATGTGTTAAGTAAAAGATAAATTATATTAACTCAATATTTCAAGCTAATCATTGTAATATAGCATGACAGCAAATAGCATCAATGGATTCGTTATCAGTGTCACCTTAGACATATTATGCATCATTTATCCATGTCTAGGTGGGGAGCATGGCTTTATTGCATTCAGGGTGAAACACTCTGGGTTGTAGAAAAATCATGAGTTTATCAAACTCAGTTTATGTCGATACTATTGCTCTTTCAAAGGGTAATTTTAAATCTTCTTTAACTATACATGAAAAGTAATGTATTTTAAACTAGAGAATTTATGTTTAAATATTGAAATGAACAGCAGAGAGAAAGAGAGTGTAGATATGTCTTAATTATCCTTCTAGATATTATGAGCTTTCTGGATAAATGAAAGAAGTAATAATGATAATTAAGCAAAACCTGGAAGCATTTTTGTACATGGACTGGATTAAAACGTCTTTTCAAACTTCAATAATCATCATGGGAAAGAAAAAATGTGCATTTGTGAAATACATAATATGGTTATATAAAAAATGACAATCTTCACTGATACAAAATGTGAATACAAATGATACTTAAAATATGTATCATTAATGATGTAATGTCTATATCTTTATTGTGGAACTAACACCATTAACAAAACATTATACTAAAATTAGCAGCAGTGTGTGAAAACAACACATTTGGGGTTTTTAATATAAAACTAATATTGCATTCTGTGTTATTACATAAGACAAACGAATACTCTTAAGGAAAACAATGGTCATTCGAAATTTTTAGTGTGTGATCATTGAAAACTGAAAATATGGAAACAAGAGGTTCTCCTTGAACCCTGTATGTAGTTCATTCTTTTTTCTCTATTGTTTTTTATTCTTTCTTCATTTCTCTTAGTTTTTGTACCTTGTGTTTTGCATAATAGACAATGCAATATGTGGTAGGGAAAGGGAATCAGAGAAACAGCAAGACAACAGATGAACAACAGCAACCTTGATACACACTTGACACTATGTTGGATAGAAACATTACAACTTGGGCAGGGGATGGAGGAGTAGGGAAGGGTCAGTGGGAGATATAGAGGGATGGGGTAACAATGATTACAAACAAATGTACTTATTGCCTTACTTATGCAACTGTAACCCCCCTGCTCACCACCTTTACAATAAAATAAAAAATATAGAAATAAAAATAAAAATGAATTAACAGCAACCTGATCTACTCACTCAATGGTTTGTTCTTGAAAGCAATGGGTATGTTTATATTTAGCTTGGAAAAATTCTAAGTAACTTAACAGTGGAATGATTTCTGGTTGTTGCTGATTGTCATAAAATGTTTATAATTTTAACAAACATATACATGCCTGCATCCGTACATATGTACATACATATATACATAACAAAAATTCTCTCCTAAAATACACGCACAGAGGTTGAGGGGAAATCATGAGTTTGAGGATCTAGCTTCAAACCAAAACCACAAATCTGTCTCAAATCAAAACTACAGATTCCATGATGTTATATAATATCTTTATTTTTACTAGTCAAGATAGTCTTTGTCTTAATCTCACATATACATAAATGCAGTAATCTTAAACTTTGGAGGCAAAACCTGACAATAATTGTATTAATAACATGCCTATTGAAATTGGTTGTATTTTTTTACAACTCTTCTCTTAAATTGTTCTTTGCACTGGGCTAGCTAAGCGGTAGACTAGAGAAAGGAGCAAAGTTTTGACAAAACAACAAGAAAATGATGAACAGAATAGTAGTAACAAGTCTTTGCCAATCAGTAACCCCTTGAATATAAATGAATTGAATCCTCCAATCAAGAAAAGGTGAAAAGATGATAACTAAGATGCTGCAGTCATTATAGCCATAAGGACATAACATTATAAACAACTTTGTGTATAAAACTATCTTCGTAACAGCAAAAAAATGACAAACCAGTGCCTAAGGATGGAGACTCTGGAACAGCCAGTATGTCAGGCATACACTTGAAGACTTAATGTATCAGACTCCACTCCAGCAAGCAGGAGCTGTAGCTGGTTGCTAAGCAACACATCAACTTCAAACATAGGACAAATCTGACTTTGGATTGCCCTCTAGTGCTGGAATGCAGACAAGATATGATGAGCAGACAGCAAAACTGAAATATGCCATATATACCTGAGATAATGAAAGTGACTGCAGGCTCAGAGAAAATAATTTGACTAGAAAAATGCCCAGAAAACAAAGTCAAACTACAGAGATTGGAATAAACACCTAATCCTTCACTATGCAGGAAATGGCACACTGGACAAAACAGCATGCTTTTCAAGAAAACATAACCTAACCTAACCCAATAAAATACCAAAATCTGGGTCTGGGAAAGTGGCTCAGTGGTAGAGCGCTTGCCTTGCATGCCTGAGGCCCTGGGTTCGATTCCTCAGCACCACATAAGCAAAAAGAAAAAGCCGCAAGTGGCGCTGTGGCTCAAGTGGTAGAGTGCTAGCCTTGAGCTGAAAGCTGAGGGACAGCACCCAGGCCCAGAGTTCAGGCCCCACAACCAGACCCAAAAATTAAAATAATAATAATAAATAAAATAAAATAAAATACCAAAAGCTGATTAGGTAGCAACTATCATGGTGATCTCTTGAATTTAATAATACATCTGTTGTAGAGAAACTTGGTGAACTTCAAAAGAATATGGATAAGTGATTTTAAAAAGCTTAACAAACAGATGAATATACTTTTTAAAAAGTAAAACAGTCACTCATGTTAAAAAAATACATTAAGGAAAATTTTAAAGGTATATTGAGCATCAATAGCAAACCAGAACAAACAAAAGACATGATAACTACACTTAAACACACTTTTCATGAAAATACACTCCAAAGAAAAAAAGGAAAATGAAGAGTAAAAACAACTTATGATACTGTGGGATAGTGTCAAATGAGCCTTTCAACTTTAATTCAAGTTGAAAAGGGACTTCAAGTGCCAAGGAAAAATAATAAAATCTTAATAAAAAAATGACTTGTAAATATTGCTGGACAAACATGTGTGTGTAGTAGCTGGATATTTATACTTTCAGTTCTTGGAAGTTTATCATGTGGAATAAGCCTAGATGTCCAATGATGGATGAGTGGATAGAGAAATTGTATATAGAAAATAGAGCATTTCTCCTAAAATTAATGAAATTTTGTTATTTGTACAAAAATGGACAGAAGTGGAGGTCATCTTGTTGAGCAAAATAAGAGATCTATTTTATGTTTGCTCTCACATGTAGAATATAGGCCTAAAGACAAACAAATATGCAGGCAGAAAAACTTATAAAGATTCAAGGGAGACCACTGGGAGATCAAACCAGTAGGGGAAAACGTGACAAGGAAGGAAGGTTGGGCGTAAATAAGATTGAAGTATATTATATATGTGTATAGAAGTGTTATCACTAAATGCATTATTTTATTTTAGAAAGATAAATATACAGTTATGTGAAGGTCAAAGAATGCTCCAATGAATGGCTGCAACATGCAAATATTCTCAGAAGCTCATGAAGTTTTCCCCAAAATAGATCACATTTTAAGTCACAAGTAGGTCTTTAACATTGTAAGAAAATGGAAATAATCTGGTAGTTTATCAGGTCACAATAGAATTAAGATAAAAATCAATCGCAAAAGAATCTACTGAAAATCCAACAAAAAGAGATCAAACAGTATATTGATAAATGATCACTAAGTCAACACAAACATAAAGGCAAAATGTTAAAAATTGCTGGATTAAAATGAAAAAGATTTACGAGACAAGCATGCATTGTTGAAGTTACCATATCAACTTGGTCTAACTGGCAACTAATAAAATTGATGTCTACAAATTTTCACATAGAAGTGATCCAGTTGATTATGAGCACACAGGTGCAACTGGAAGTCATTATGACTTCTAAGAAGGAATAAGCCATTCCACCCAACAACACGATCAACACTAAGAGGAGGTGGGTGCGCTGGCTCATGAAGAGGGTCTGCTGATGACCATCTAGAAATCAAAAGACATCGTGGCCAAGAGCAGGCTTTCCAAACACCCCCCCCCACACACATTGTGCTGTAGAAATAAAGCTGAACCACACATGCAGTGTAGCTGATTATCTTTGTAGAGCTTCCCAAGCAGAACAGCATCTGAGGGACGATGCTGGTGGTGTAGCACATGTCCAAAAAGGAGAGGTTGGTGAGGAAGAAATACATGGGGCTGTGGAGCCGGGGGTCTAACCTGGACACCAGGATGATGGCGATGTTTCCCAGCAAGGCCATGGGGTATGTGATCAGAAGAAGAACAAACAGAGGAAGCTCCAGCCATGGACGGTCAGCAAAGCCTAGTAGAATGAACTCTTTGGGGTGACTGTCATTCACTAGTGTCATTAGCTTAGAATATGATGAGGAAAAAGTCACAATAGGCTAAAACACTACTAAGCTTTGATATGCAAAAACAGAGATAAGGCACAATAAATTCAGTGACAAATGATACGAAAGGTGTGGGACCAGTTGACTCCTTTTCTCCTGACACCATAAATTAAAGGGAATTCCCAGCCACCAGTGAACTAAACAATCTGAATCTCAATTTTTTATATTGTACTAGAACACTGACCAGAAAAGAGTCCTTCATATAATATAGAGTAAACACAAAGGGATCACACACAAAAGAGATATGCCTGTGCTTTCATTTTAAAATTTCATCATCCATAAAAATTCAGCAGAAGTTGTTAAAACGAAGTTTCTAGGTTTCTATCTACGGGTGCCTG